AAAATCCACTCCACACTTGTCAACGCGTGCACGTTATGAGCGGGTTATCAGTTTTATTCCAGATTAAGCATAGCCCCTAATCCACTTTATAAAATCTGATGAAACCTTTGCGGAGAGCAAAGTGTCACTATAAAGGGATTTTTTATTGTTCCAGTGTACAGCTCTATAGTGACATCACACAAGAAATGTCTCTTATTCGTAAAAAAAAAAAACAGGTACAGCAATACTATGGGAAAAGATCTCCTCAGGGTTGCCTTAAAATGATACATTTGCGTTTATTTATAATTATAAATTGCATTTATAATAATATCCAGCCATCCATCCTTCTATGCGTCCAACTCTTTATACTATATACAGTATATACGTGAAAATTGCATCTATATTAATAATTATAATAATTATTATTATTATACAGAAAAAAAACATTATGACAGTTATATTTTGAAAAAAGCATTAGTCACGTGTTCAGGAGGATCCATAAAGAGGTCTCTTTCCCCATCTAGTGGCGGAACTTATGTCTTTGCATCCTTCGCAATGGTCTTTGAACATGTGAAGGATCTGTGAGACTATAATCCTATTCTACTTGCAAATGAATGATCAAAGTCTTCTTAAGAGAGAGCCATGATTATAATTCAAGAGTCAGATCTTTCTTAATCAATGCGGCGGTTTTCAGCTGCCATCGGATCTCTGCGCCTCGGATTGGAGGCTTTCCAGATGACAGTTGCTGCCTTATTTGAAGAGGCAGTGTACTGCAGTGTGTAATTATCACTGATGCGTTTGTTTTAGTGCCAAGCGGCAAATTGAAAATTGGACAGATTCGCGAGGCTGTTATCAGCAGAAATCCCGTGGGAACCAGGAGTCCGCATGGCAGAGTCTGGGACGTGTCGCGTGTAGTACGAGACACACCACAGCCATGTTATTGGAGATCGCTATGGGGCATCGCTAATGAGACTGCCTTGATTTTGACAAGAGGAGCCTGAAAGAGGAAAACCAGATTCACTGCGTCCAGGGATAAATTCATAGTTTGTTTCAGTTACAACATTAGAGTGGAGGTAATTAACAAAATATGTCCCTCCTCCACAGTGCTAACACATGGCGTGTTATAAAATGTGTACCGTCGATTGTGGATACCAAGGTTTTTTAAGAGTTTCTTTTTTGGGATGTGTCAAAAAAGTCTGTATACTGTGTACCACAGACTCCAGGATGGTGTGTATCTATTCAGCAAGAAGTCGGTATAATTATATCATAAGGAATTTTTACATTAGATGGAGGGAGACATTGCCTATGGTTTCTTACTCTGTTGTCTTCTTCCTATGACTTATGAGGTGATAGCTCCTCCCCCCACCCTTTTTTGCAGCATCTGCTAGCTGTAAATGGCTTGTACTCTAAAGCAGTGTTTCCCAACCTGGTCCTGTGGGACCCCCCCAGACACTCCATGTTTTTGCTCCCTCCTAAGTCCCATTAGGGAGTTGGCAGTGAGCTGGGAGGGAGCAACAACACAAACTCTCTCGGGGTCCCTGAGGACCGGGGTGTGAAACGCTACTCTAAAGGCTACCTCTACCTTGTGCAATGGACCATTATTTTCTAGAAAGAAACCCCTCCTGAGGAATAGAGAGTGCTGGGGAAGTTACTCACAAAAGTAACCCGTTACAGACAGAGGTGTAAGGTTCAGATCCAGAAAGTACAAATCCAGACCAAGGTTTTGTTTCAACCAACTAGTTCAGCATAAAGAGTCACAGTCACAGATTACTCAACTGGTTAGTTGAAACAAAACCTTGTTCTGAATTTGTACTTTCTGGATCTGAGCCTTCCACCTCAGTCTATAACGGGTTACTTTTGTGAGTAACTTCCCCAGCACTGTCTATAACGGGTTACTTTTGTGAGTAACTTCCCCAGCACTGTCTATAACGGGTTACTTTTGTGAGTAACTTCCCCAGCACTGGGAATAAAGAATAAAGTCACCTTCTACATTCCAATAATTACCATTTTTGAAATTTAGGATGATATGATGTGTAAAATAAAGTAGAGAAACCTATTGGAGCAAATTTAAACCATTTACGGTTCTGTAATCAGTATAATGGGGCACAGAGGCGCAGTGGAGGCGCAGTGGTGGCGCAGTGGCCCACACCTTCCGGCTGTAGGTTTGAGTTTGCGAGCCCTTCTCTGTGTTCGCATGGCTTTCCTCAGGGTACTTTGGCATCCTACCTCCATGCGGTTAGGCTAAGTGGAGTTCCAAAGTCATGCACGCAGTGTGAGTGGATTAGCATCCTGCCCCATGTTTTCCCCCTGCTACCTGCTCTGTGTCTCCTGCGATATGCTCCAGGCTAACCTGGACTCCATGCTGGGTAAGTGGTTATGGAAATAAATGCATGATAGAACCTTTTAAGTGCTCTGGGCTGTTCTGTGGGGCACCTTGGGCTACTGGCATGAGTCCATTCATTGAGGAGGAGGCAGTGTGTGACTCTGTGCCCATGATCAGAAGGTTGGCAGTTCAAATCCCATGGTAGGTAGAGTGATGTCACTTTTGGGCTGTTGAGCAAGGCCCTTAACCCCAATTGCTACAGGGACTGTCTGGCCCTGCTGTCTTAATTTTATGTCGCTCTGGATAAAAGTCTCTGCTAAATACCTTAATGCAAGATGGTGAAAAGTAGCACAAGACTCCAGCAGCGTTCCATGCTGTGCTCCTTGCACCACACTGCTCACTAATAGGCTTTGTCAGGTAGGGTTTCCTTTATTTGCATTTATGATTAATTTCTTTGTTCAAAATTCACTCTGTAATTGCGAGTCCCTCTTTCATCTTGGGTTTCCACTTAACTCATGGCAAGCATGCCAACGATCTGGACTCCCGGAGCATGTTTATTAGACATGTTTGAGCAGCTGAACTGTAGGATTCACCGCTGCCATTTTACAGGGTAAGAGCAGTGATATAACTCTGCCACCCATGGGATCTGAACCCATGACCTTCCAGATGTGGCCACAGATCTATGACCTAATGAACGGCACACCATGCTTGTGACATACAGTACTACTCTAAAGTCTGAATAAACCTACGCATAGAAAGGTTTATTTATACTATTCTCTACATTTTATAGTAATTATAGACATCAAAACTATGAAATAATGTATACGGAATTATACTCTGACCAAAACACTACTATACAAAAAATATATATATATTTGTTGGGGGGAGGGGCCAACTCTGTGGGTTGGGACTCAGAAGGTTGCCAGTTCAAATCCCAGGGTTGGTAGAGTGATCCCACCATTGGGCCCTTGAGCAAGGCCCTTAATCCCAATTGCTTCAGGAACTGCTTGATGCTACTTTCTCCTGCACTCCAGTAGGTGGACACCTGAGATCCTTTTCCAGCTGTCCTGAAGGAGGTCACACATTTGCTGAGCACTCTCTGGTCAAACTCCTCCAACCATTTCTGCCATGTTTAGGTCAGGTGGCCAAGTCATGTGATGTGACACTATCACTCTCTTTTGAGGGCAGCTTGGCGTGTCTAGGCTTTTGACTGATGCTGTATTTCTGTGAAGTTTCTGGAGTTCACAGGCTGTACAGAACTACTGTGGGCTCCTTTTTAAATTATTCGTGCCTGTAAGCCTGTATGTATATGCTAGAAGTCTATGTATAAAATCCCTGAAGGATTAAAACTTAAATAAAATAAATGCACAGCAGGAATCATGGAACATCAGTACTCATTACCTGCCTGTCTTCACTGCTATGTCAGCCTGTCATTCATTTTCTTTCTTCAGAAATTGAAATTTTTAATCACTGATGATTCTTTGCATACAAAAGCAGGTCTTCCTTGCCAGCTGACGAAGAAACCAGAGGCCCTGGACTAAGCTATACTTTTCTAAGAAGCAGAAATGATTCCTGCCTTAAAAGATGTCAACTAAGTTGTATTACAAAGCAGATGCCAGTGAGGGATCTAATTAAATAATAATTGATAAACATAATTAAATCAAATTTACTGTAAAATAATACATTTCTATAAGGAACGCAATATGCATTAAGGTTAACTTACTGAGGTACGACTCAGTCCAAGCGTAATTAAGGTTTGCAAAATAGCTTGGCTTTGTTAAATCAGTTAAAATGGAAAAGCTATATATTTAGTTCCCTTGATGAAACACATTTACATTTAATATATTAATGCTAATTAAAATGTGTTTGAATTACTCTGACTGTACTTTCTGTGTAGTCTGATCATTGTAGCTGTATGTCTTGGTTGATTTTTTGGTCCATTTCTGAATGATTTTTGCCTTGTGGCTCAGTCACTTTCTTCAGGACTGTGATGGACAGCTGTGCGGCATGACAAGTATAAATGTATCTCTCTAAGCACTATTATCTGTGGCAGAGGACATATACTCCCCCACTGATCTGTCCTTAAACTGACCCTTTAAATGACCATGATGAGTGAGTAATTAGCCTAAGAAATATGACGGCATCATTAAGTAATTACATTACTACTGAAAGCATTTATTCTCCTGTTATGAACAGTAGGAAGCGTTTTTTAGAATTCATTGAATCCATTTATAAATAATTGTATTTACAATATGGTTTACAAAGTGAAACTGCGTTTGGTATTGTGTTCCAATGCAGCGCATGATTTTTCATTTAAGAAGTAGAAATGCTAATTCAAAAACAGGAACAAACCACTCAGTAAAACAGATCACCATTTTATATGCAAATTAAATAACAGGTTTGAACTGATATACATCTCACATATTCTAATGGTGGGCGATGATTTGTGTAATTTGGTGTCTTATCTCACATGATATTTTGAGCGCAAACTATGCTCAACTATCAAATACTGAGAACTGATTATATACCAAAATGGAACAATATGTTCTTGACCTGTAATTATCCGCAGAAACATTTTTATGGCAGATCAAAAAAAACCAAAACTATTTCTCATATTTTCAGCATCTATTTATTTGCAACTTTGATTACATTTACATTTTATTCCCTAAGCCAATGCTTATTCCTGGTGTGACGGGTGTATATGACTAATGTGCCAGACGAAATGGACTGTGGAACAATTATTTATTTGTATACATTATTTATTTGCCTGGCAGCCACTATTATATAAAGGAATGTGCACAGCTTTTAATTTTATATACCAGGGTATTTTCCAAAACAGTTCAAATTTGGCTTAAAGGTGGATGAGGCTGATCCCTTCTTGGCATCCAAACCTTTTTCAGACCCATGCCAGTTTCCTTAAGCACTTTGTGAACTTTGCAGTGTGAAGAAGTTACAGACGCAGGCAAAGTGTTCTGAAAGTTGTGGCAATACTCACAGTACAACAGTTTATCCCTACACTGACAAAGTGTGTTAATTATTATGAAAATGGGATTAATCCATAGCTGTACACCATGATCCCCAGATTTTGTTGCCGTCAGCTGTTATTGATATATTGAGGTATTAATTAAGTCTGCAGCTGTGTGTTAAGTATGTGTTCAGCCAAATTTGCGAAGGTATTTCCATGTGTGCCGAGGAGAATTTTCCTGCAGAAGAAATTCCACAGCGACAGGAAAGACAGGATTGTCACAGTGGATATGGAATGTGCTGCATCACATTTCCCATGCCACGATATGTCCATCTTTGGCCAGTCCTGGTCATGATGGTGACCAGAGGCTAAATGCACTTGTGAGCAAAGCAAGCCAGCTTCATCTGTCAGCCCAGGCTTAAACTCTCTCCCCCATTTTCCTGGCACTAAGACAACAGAATGCAAAATACGGCCTGAGACTCCACCGTTCCACATCCGGGGTTCCTCGTAGACTTCAGATGGATTTCATGAGAGAGAGAGAAAAAAAATCCTAATCTGATCAGAGGACTGGTGTATTCCAGGCAAAGTGGAAAACAGGGATTTTGCTGTCTGTCTTCACCGAGGATCAGCGGGCGAAGTAAGCAGTCTGGTATGAGCGGCCTGTTGGAGAGGGCAAGATGCAAGAGGGTAGGATCAGTTAGCAGTGTGAAGAGCAGTCAGCTCCTCTGCAGTCTTAGAAGCGTTTGACACCATGGAGCTCACAGCTGCCAGTGCTCTCTGACATTTTAATGTGTTTTTCTTTGGCCCCCAAACACTTTTTAGAGACGTTTCGCTGTATTTCTGTTCCTTTTGGAATCCACATGACACTACGGTATGTTGATAGTGGTGTTTGCGGCACGGTCTTATGGGCTGTAGAACTAAGGAATGTGCTTCCAGGAGAATCTCTGCTAAGTATTTTGTATCACGAATGCTTCCATGGGAACAAGAAGATCTTTTTGCCCAGATCACGATTTCTTAAACTTTTCATAAACGCCTCACTTCAAGAAAACATTGAGCAACAAGCATTTTATTTTCTTTTTTTTTTTCCAGGGACTTGGGCCCATATTCAAATGGCTGCCAAAGTTATTTAGGTATTTTATACACTGCTTTTAGAACAGAATTCTTGTATATTTAAACCTATTGTCTGGTCTGGTTCGAAATGCAAAGGTGTTCCTTAAAGGAAACAGATTCAGCTCGCACATAATAATCCCCCCCCCCCAAAAAAACACTGACATTGCAAAGCTTTTGGACTTTTTGTAAAGCAAACACTAAATAGTTTGAATAATGGTCATGACACAATTTGAATGTGGATTGTTGGTTTCTAAACAGTAAAATGAAGGCATTTTTAAATATGTTCACCCTATATATAATAAGAAATTTACATATTTTTGTAATGTTTCTTTGTTTATAATGTAATTTACTGGTGATGTGTTGTGAAGTTTAAAAATAAACTGAATTTGATAAACTGAGTACCCGAAACGGCAACACTTTACTTGAAGCAGTCTACATAAGGGTGACATGTAACCGTCATAAGAATGACATGACACATGCCATGCACTGTTGTCATAATGTGTCATTCAGTTCCAAAAACCAAATGACACATTATGACAACAGTGATGTGTATGACAACAGTCATAAACATCAATAATGTGTCATTAATGTGCATGACACGTGTCATGTCATTCTAATGACGGTTACATGTCACCCTTATGTAGACTGCTTCAAGTAAAGTGTTACCCTGGAAACATCAGTTTTTGTACACTAAATACTCAGCAAATCACTTCAGCTGTCTTCGACTGTGCTGTGAGACCTCGTGGGAAGGACAAGAGTCTTGTGTTACAATGAGAAAGTGCGTCTCTGAGTTTTAATGGTATCACAGCTCACCCGTCTCAATTAGCTGGCCAGACGTTTAATCCCATGAACTCCCGTGGTAGGTGCTTGGTGCCGCCTCTGTCCGCGTTCCTCTGGTGGAAATTAAAAGATGGGTAATGAATTTGTGTATGAGCCGGCCTCTTTATCCAGTGGGGCTGTCAAATTCGGCTAACCAATTTAGGGTCTCTGTCGCCATCTAAAAATCATAATAAAGAGCTAAACATGACGCAGATGTGCATGTAAGCCGTCCAGAGACGGCGATGCATTAACACAGTGTAAACAATTTACTTCATACTACATTAAGGGCACAGTAATAATAGCAAACGCCAATGAATGTCGCCGAGGTCTTGATTACAGACAGTGGGTGTTTCAGTATTGAGGAAAAAGGTTTGTTTTCCTTAATGCTGTCACAGTAGGGTTGATTTCAAGTAATTAGCAGAATTAACTCTTGCTGCTGTATGTTTCAGACCTGATAAAAGAGCTTCACATGGATAAACATTTTTGTTTGACAGAGGAGTCTGCTTACTTTACACGTACTGTAAAATAAGCCACAGCGGACTGTGTATAGACATATTTTTTCTGTCCACCTCTTTGCGTGATTAAAAGTGTATAGTACTCTATACATCATTTGAAAAACTTGCACTTTTTTTTGTTCTATAACAAACTCATATCCTTAATACCACAAGCTGAAGTTGATGCTTAAATATTTGGTAGGGCTTTTTGCTGAATTAACTTAATGCATAATTGCTTTGGTCTTCAAATGAACTTAATATAGGTAAGCCATGAGTGGAACTTGTTTGGTAATTGATTTAGGAACAACAAGGCTCAGTTACTTCTGTTTTTTATACTATAATGGAGAAAAAAATCAATACAAGTAATCAGACTTCATACAAATGACTTTCATGCTTTATAACTCCCAGCGGCTGCTATACTAAAAAGTTCCTTGTACAGGTTCCTAAGAAATAGGGGCTATTGGTCATAGTGTTATGGTAAAAATCTATAGATTCCACAGGTCTGCCGTGGTTGGTGTTTGCCTTGAATCCAATATGAGCATAAACTAATGATGAACCAGGTGTGCATGTGAGTGTGCCCTGTGATGGATTGGCGCCCCATCCTGGGTTATTCCCTGCCTTGTGCCCGCAGCCTCTGGGATAGTCTCTGGGTCCCCTGTGACCCTGAATAGGACAAACAATTTCAGAAAATGGATGGATGGATGGATAATGATGAACCACCAGCAGGAAGACAAGCTTTCCACATTGGTAAGCATTTCGGAAGAAGTGTCACTTTGTACCTCAGTACAATCTCCAGGTCAAAGAAAAAAAGAAAAGAAAAATTGAAATCAATAGCCACATGAAATAAGTGCAGATATGTCATTCCATTGGAGGAGCTGTGGATGCTTTCTGCAGATCTCTCATGTGAGAGTAAAGAAGGCCGGACACGGGGGAGATGGGTCCCCCCTGCGGTGAAGAGGAAGCCACCAGTAAGCACGCCGAGCTGGAGACATTTCGGACATTGATTTTTATCCTTTAATCATAACTGGACATTTTAAGTTGATCTAGATCTCCAGGTGAGAGTAAGAAAAAGAAAGATTAAAACAGGCCTCAGGCACAACAGTTTCGACATAAACCCCAGAGATTCAATGGGAGCAGGAATAAAATGAAAAAATAGTGTTCTGGAGTACCGCAGGGACGGCCAAAGGAAAATTTAATAGCACAGGAGCTGTTACATGGTGGTTCTGGTTTTATAGATTCTTCCGTTCTATCCAAAACAAAGTGTTTTTTTTTTCTGAATTAAGTTCCGGAATCAATTGACAAGTATCGACAACAGTAACTGCCGCTCTGCCGTGCTTCTGCTCAAAGTCAAAGATCTTGACAGAAATTACCAGAAAAGTCTCAATCCTTGTTGCAAACAAATTCTCTGTATTGTGCCTCTGAGATTCATCATCCCATTTAAGAGACCATTTATTCCAGGTCTAGATCATTTATATACTTGCGTATGTTTTATATGCTGTACTTGTTATTAGGTTCAGCTAATGCTTCCAGTAAAGGAGCATTAAAGTGCTTAGTTGTCGTTATTGTTATCAGGAAAGCTTAGAGAGATAATACATCACTGGCACTTAGCCGGGGAATCCGTGAAATGAAGTGCCACGGGCTTGTGTACGACGGACACTTAGTGGTGCTGAATCTCTTCCTCACATAAGGTTCGGTCTGCATTGCATGATGGGATGAAAACTTTAGCAATCTCCTCTGGCAAGTAGGTGGCCATTGATAGCATGGGCTCTGTATAGAGAAAAGAAACCAGGAAATAAAACCTTATCCCCTGGAGTTACTGAGCATACTATGTTTTTGGTATAACTTCTCTACATATACCAGCTGTGAAGGAACCTTGGTTCAAATTCTTTGTAAGGCATGCATTCTGGATAATTTCTGGTTTTGACAGAGTGGGTTGATTGGTCAGCACTGTTTTGTGTTCACATTTCTGAAAGACTCATCAAATTGCCTGATTGCTCTCATATTCTGTCAGAAATGAGGTTTACCTAACATTTATGAAAGGATTTGGAGGTATTTGCCCGTTTAAAAGGGAGCACAGCTGGGCGCTATGCCATCTTCAGTGGTGATATCCACCCACCTTAATGAGGGTTAATAGATTGGATGTGCTGCAGGAGATGGGCAGGGAGAGACTATGACCCCTTTCAGGGAACTAGCATTAAAATGCAATTAAGGTCCACGTCCGCAAAAATGGTCCCTGCTGCTCTGCCAGTTTTTCCCGGGTGAACCATCAATCAAGTCGTGTTCGATGGACATGTGTATCATCTGAGGTGCTGGACCCCACAGCCCAGTTGTAGGTCCATGCCGGAAAATCACCTCCACCTGCCTGCACCAATCGCATGCAATGTAATGACTGGGACCAATCGGGTACACAAACAATCAAGATCAGGAGATGAGAGTAAGTACGTGGCCAATGGGAAACAAGCATCCCATCAGGAATAATTTGTTTTGCTGCCTCCAATTATCAGTAACAGGTTGTTAAGTTTTGTCAGACACAATAAAGCATTCATTTCATAGTTAATTCTGTGCATTGAAACGATTTGAAATTTGGGCTCCTTTTCACTGCAGCCAATACAATGGTGTTTCACTAATGGATGCAGACAGGTCACTTCATTTGGTTTTCACACAAAATCTTTGGTTCATTTCAGTGACTTAACAAACTGACAGTGTTTCCCGCATGCTAAACAGGGGAACCATGGGTAAATTTGTTAGACTAATGGACAGACTTTCTCATATTTGGATGATGCAAAGAAATGTCATGGATGGCTTTGGCTGCGAGGGAAGACGCAAGGGACCGAATGAGATGCCTTTTGCCTCTGTACTATCCACCATTTTCATCAGACTTTGTTGGATCTGATCTTTGCAGATTAACAAGTGTTTCTTTATATCGACTGGTGTGAGAAAACATGATGTCTGAGCAAACTACACCTTACTGTAGATGTCAGACTCAATTGCTCACCTGTGATGTGTATCGTTGACTTGATTTCTTTGGTCTTCCTTGAATGGACTTTGCTCTAGGCATCCTGGTCCAAAATGTGTCCGTAAAAACCCATCTTTCAACTCAAATGTCAAACGTGGGCTAAACCATCATGCTATTGATTTATAGGGGGATACCTGAAACACTGTAAATGATGTGAAAAGCTTTTGTAGCCTTTGTTGACCCATTGCCTACTGTGCTTCTTCTGCCATGTGATGCTATAGATTTCCACAAGTGTGTCTTTGCACGTCTGTACTTTCAGACTTCTATCTTGATCTTCTATTGGGGTCACACCCCACTGGGCTTTGCCCCATATGCGGTCCACCCAAACGTGTCATTAATGATCCGTCCCGCTGGCCGTGCTCCAGGGAGACGGAGGTGAGAACATTGTGAGGTTTTCTATCCTGGGGATAGATTAGTCATACTGCTCTTTCTTGTATTGTCCGTGGCCCGATCCCCCACCGGGGGTCATGTCGGGAACCCCCCCGCCATCACGCAGCTGGACCCATTAAAAGCGGGTCCTCTGCTGGCAAAGCACTGGTGTGGGCATGCATTCGGGGGCCGCGTCCCCGGTGACTGGCCCTCCGGTTTCTGAGCACTAATGCGACGCGGGCATGCGCTGGCCGCTTTGATCGTGGCCGCTGTAGCTGCCGGGAACGTATGGGAGAAGCAAAGAGGCAAAGCTAAACCTTTGAATGCATTTTTAATGCCCAATTTGGATCAGAGACGGCGACGGGTAAATAAATGAAGATGGGGGCAGCTACTGACCGCTGGTCCTGCTCACTGCGGCATGAAGAGGCTCTCGCTTCCCCTGTGATGGCTGCAGGTGATGGATTTCGGACCAGAACCTGCACCTCACCCCCCCCACCATCTCTCATCCTCGGCCCCCCCCCATCCTCTGGAGGATTAGGACACCGCCCTGATTAGGCGCTTGCTCCTGGGGGGGGGGGATCTCTCTCTGGCTCGTCAAGCCGACACCCTCCCTCCATTCGGCTGGCAGATCCCTCTTATCAAGCCGCCTTGTCTCCAGCCTGGCCGCCTGCTGCAGCGAAGATATTTATGTAGACAAGCAAGACTCAGTTATTTATTTATAATAAAACGATTCCAGCCGGATGTCCCTCTGAGGAATGTTTTTTTTTTTTTTTTTTAAAAAAAAAGAAAAAAAAACCCCCAATGATATTCAGATTTTCCTGTGAACCAGAGACAGATAGACAAGGTTCAGCCCTAGCTCTGTCTCAGATGCCTATCATGGGGAATACGTCACAGAGAACTGTCTTTTTCCGTAAAAAAAAGGCTGATTTATGTAGATGCACAGGAGTTCAAGGAGCGTGTAGATTATTTTCTTTCCTCGACATGCCACGGGAACATTATTCATTATCTCTGCGGGAAGCTCGTTTAAGGTTAGATTGATCGGCAGTGACATGAAGCTGTGTAAATAAGTCAAGAAGAAACCTTGATGTAACTTTTACAGTGACATTTTCAAAGCGTTATTTAGGCCCACAAAAAGAGAGCAGGCACAAAAGACAGCATGAGTTTGCGGGATTACACTGCAGCTCATAGCATGGGG